TTCTGCAATTAACATGCAGGAGGGAAAATGTCAGGTCCTGATGTGTCACTACTGCAACAAAGAATAAACTATACCAAAGAATAAAGCTATTAAAGCTCTCATTAATATATCATTAACCATCAAATCATCCATAGCATCAGTACAAATGTATGTGAAAATGCATGAAGCAATGTTGACTTGTGATTTTTGGCTTATCATTTAGCATTTATTGCATTTAGTGGCATTTTTTGCATTTCTGCTTTCTCTGTAAGCAGCTGAGACTAAGCCACTGTGCAGGAGACTTCTTTGTGTCTGTAATGTTGATGCTATCTCAAGTTTGAGATGAAAATCATGTTCAGAGTACTCAAGAGAGTAATGCACTCATGACATCGGCTTTCATTTGTTTTAATTCTGACAAAAGCCAGATGCTAGTTAAACTGAAGAGATTTCACTGTTAAAATGTTATTGTGTACAAATACTTTGAAGGGGATAAAACTCTCAAGAATGTAACCTCACTCATGTAAAGTATAAATTAATATCTACAGAGTAATTAGAGAAAGAGTGATGGTCTTAACAGCTGTGCTCAAATGAGAAGGTTAAAAAAACTGTATCCTCTTAAATAGTGGAAAGTACAGCATAATTATGTCTGTCTGCTAGTATACAACAGTTTTGGAACAAACCCAGTTTCTTACATCAAGTAAAAATCTATTATCTATCAGGATCTACCAAACCATGAGTCACATTTACCAACTCATATCTGCCAGGAATGTCTGAGTATTTTTATTAACGATGAAATCATTTGAAAGTTTAGAGGTTTACATGGTATATCTTCACAGCAGTCTCTGTGGCTACAGTAGCTTCACAAGTTATCAGCAAGTTGAACTTGAACAAGTGATTATGTTAAATCAATATGATCTTACCTTGCTCACACAGTGCTCCTGCATAACTTGGAAGACATACACAGGTGAATGAGTTAAGGCCATCAATACATGTTCCTCCATTACGACAAGGGTTTGTGTGACATTCATCAATGTCTATAAAAAATAAATTAAAATAAGGTGAGTAAATAATGTACTTATGTGCATTACAATTAGTTGGAGTTAATGAGAATTTTAAGGTGCACTACAATTCCATAATCGATCAAGAAATAAAAATAAGTGTTTGATGCCTAAGTGAATCAGGGTAAGACAAAAACTGTTAAGTATACAATAATAATTGATATTTTAGGCAGTCATGAATTTGGTGGGAAATTTCTGGTTTACAGCATTAGCCTGGGTATAGTTACATAATTTCCATAAATAGAGTAAAGAAGGTCTGGTACTACAGCAACAGACATGCTACTTCATGGCTCAAACTATCAAATTCATTCAAGCAGAACAGCAGTGCCAAGCACAGCTGATGCAAAATATGTAACTTGTCATTTTATGTTTCGCCACAGATGGCAATATTGAGCACAAAGTTCTGTAGTGCACCTTTAATAAATGAATGAAACGCTAATACAGCATACCTAGTTCACACTGGTTACCATTATATCCAGGCGGACAGCTGCAGATCTGAACACCGCCTATTTTTACACAAGAACCGCCATTCAAGCAAACATCATCAGAACAGGAGTGAACATCTGCAGTAAGAGAGGGAGGATAAAGGCATGTCATACAAAAATAATGGTATAGGTATAGAAAGTACAGTATATGCATTCTGTTAATTGGGTCTTTAAAACAGTGTTTACATCCTACCTGGAATATCAAATGTCTGCCCGATCATTGTGTATGGAAGGTCTGCTGTACTGTGTGTTGTGCTTTCATTCTGTGCACTTGGAGGTGGGCTTTTAACCAAAGCGGCCTCAGAAACGTCTTCAAGGGAGGAAAATGGTGTTGTAATCTCGCTCTGGGTGGTAGGTACTGACGATGTCATCTGATCTTCATTTTGAATTGGAATCTCAGTTGTAAGAGTTACAGCTTCCTCAATCTGACCAGCTGCCTCTTGTTTCCTTGAGGCAGTTTCCTTACTCACAATCTTTATATCAGACTCAGGTGTCATAATTAAAGGTGAGGTTGTTGCAGTAGGCAGAATTACTGCCTGAACCTCATCAGATGATGGGGTAATAACCGAATTCTCCTCTGAGAAGCTCTTCAAACTAATGGAAGTTACAGAACCATCAAATTGAGGTTGTATGGTGGTGCTGAATCCTGTGTCAACTCTTTCTTCCAAGAATTTCTCTTTACTTATAGCAGCGGAACTTGGTTTATCTGTGAAATTAGAAAGTCTGGTTGTGGTGTGATGCTTATTGGAAGATATGGTGTTTACCTCCCCAGATGTGCTTCTCTCTGAACCACTTGTTCCACTGTTTGGTGAGCTGGTGAATGAAGCATCACTCTCAGTTCTTGAGACACTCTCAAAAGTAGTTTCACTCTCAATGTCTGGTTGCATGGTAGTCTCAAAGCTTGTTTCAGTGTCAAGCTGAGAGGTGGTCTCAGTATTCAAAACTTCTGCTTGTGTTTTTCCATCAACACTTGTTGCACTGTCCTCCTCAGGTTTTAAGGAGGTCTCAATGCCAGTGTCAATTTTTGATTCTGAGGTGGTTTCAAAGCTAGTTTCAACTTCAAGCTGTGAGGTGATCTCAAAACTAGTCTCAACATCAGGCTGTGAGGTGATTTCAAAATGAGTCTCAACATCAAGCTGTGGGGTGGTCTCAAAGCTTGTCTCAACATCAGTCTCAAAACCAGTCTCCACATCAGGCTGTGAGGTTGTCTCAAAACCAGTCTCACTATCAGGCTGTGAGGTGGTCTCAAAACCAGTCTCAACATCAGGCTGTGAGGTAGTCTCAAAACCAGTCTCAACATCAGGCTGTGAGGTGGTCTCAAAGCCAGTCTCAACATCAGGCTGTAAGGTGGGGAAACTCTTTTCACCTTCAGGTTGGGTGATGTCATCAATGCTAGTCACATCTTCTGAGCTAACGTCTAAGTCAGTCTCACTGTCAGTGTTTGTTTTGTTCATTAAATCTGGTATGGAATATACTGTTATGTAAGGTTCAGTTTTTGTATCATAATCGATTATTTCATCTGTGTCTTCCTCAGAGGAAAGTGGAGCTCCTGTTTTTTCACCCAGCCCTGGTATGGATGTAGATGAAGGATATCCCACTAATGTTACTGTGTCTGTAGTCATATTAAACTTTGATGCAGATATAAGAGGTGTGGGAATGGTTGTTGATGGAGATGGCACATCTTCATGAATCCTGATGTCTGTGTTGGGCTTATGTGTCACTGTCATTTCAGACAAAGCTTGGTGATATGGTTCCCCATCAGTTACTGTAATTGCTTCAGGCAAAGAGGTTGTTGCAAAGTGAATCACAACATCACTCTCCATAGATGTTGACAACGAATCATCTTCAGATATTAAAGGAGAGTCTGTTAAATCAGACAGTCCTGTAACCATTTCAATTGTTTGATCACCTGAGCCATAATCTGTTGAAGAAAATAATGCACTTGTGGTTTCCTCTGAAATACCAGATCTAGTTGATACATCTGTGCTTGTTAATTCACTTCCCTGAATTACTTTATCAGTGGAGGGACTACTGAGTTCAATGTCATCAGCACTTGTCATGTACAATGTTTCCTCTGTGTCAGCTGTTAAGTCATTATCATCAGTTGCTGCTGTTTCTGTGTATGTACTTGTAGTCGTTTTGGCAGGTTCAGTCATGCTAGCACTTGATGCAGTATGGAAAGATGCAGTGCTTGTTAAATCCAATACTGGAGAAACTGACTGTTCAGAGTCTGTGATATCACCTGGATATTGTGAAGAAACACTTTCTCCAGAACTTGATGGGGCAGATGTTACATCATCTCCAGTATGTGTTGATACATCTTCAGATGAGTCCTCTTCAGCTGAGAACATTTCTGTGACTCTGTCAGTAGACACTTGAGATGTCATGGGGGTTAAAGTGGATGTTTCCAGAATACAATCATCTGTAGACAAAGTGGCTGTAAGTTCTGTGGATTCTGTGGAGGTCTGACCATCTGGTGTGTGTTCAGGTACATCAGCCTCAGTAGCCTCAGGAGATTGTGTTGCTTGTGTGTCCTCTTCTAAATATGTTGAACTGCTCAGCAGGATGTCTGCGGTTGATTGGGTTTGTTGAACTATTAACCTGTCTGTTGTGGTTTCAAATGACACACGTAAATGAGGTAACTCAGTGCCATCCATTCCAGATCCTTCTGGCTCTTCTGTCATAAAGCTTGAGGGTTGTGCCGTCATGACAATTGGGGTTACCCCAGCTGCTTCTTCTGTAACAATTGTAGGGGCGAAGGGAGAAGACTGCTCTAAAATAGACAAAGTATCTGCATCAATAATCATGTCATCCTTAGTGAAAACTTCTGGTTTGATGCTATCATCTCTTATACGCTCTGTAACAGTTGAAAGTAGCTTATCTTCATCTTCCTCCTCCTCTGTGAATATTAAGACTGGACTTGTTGGAGTGACTTGCTGATCAGCACTGTCCTTAGACAAGACCAATGGAGTAGTGGTGGACACAGGATCTTGAGGTGTCACGAAAGAAGGCAATTTAGTGTGGCTTGTTATCACACCAGATGGTGTTCCAGGAGTTGTAAAGCTAGTGGCTGCTATATCTGAGACAGAAACTCCAGAATGTTCCTGCTCTGTCGGTGCTGTCACTGAGACCAGAGTGAAACCTTCAGCATTTGTGCTTGAGAACGTGTGTCCCTGTGAAACAACTCTGGCTGTACTGTACTGTCCACTGTTGACTGAGCTAAAGGGTGTCATGCTAATGGTTGTTTCTGTCATCTTTGAGCTTGATAGCAAAGGTGAAGATGTCACAAGAGTTGAATCATCACCTGATCCATCATCTTCTGCTCCATCTGGTGGACACAGGATCTTGAGGTGTCACGAAAGAAGGCAATTTAGTGTGGCTTGTTATCACACCAGATGGTGTTCCAGGAGTTGTAAAGCTAGTGGCTGCTATATCTGAGACAGAAACTCCAGAATGTTCCTGCTCTGTCGGTGCTGTCACTGAGACCAGAGTGAAACCTTCAGCATTTGTGCTTGAGAACGTGTGTCCCTGTGAAACAACTCTGGCTGTACTGTACTGTCCACTGTTGACTGAGCTAAAGGGTGTCATGCTAATGGTTGTTTCTGTCATCTTTGAGCTTGATAGCAAAGGTGAAGATGTCACAAGAGTTGAATCATCACCTGATCCATCATCTTCTGCTCCATCCCCCTCAGTTGAGTCTTCCCCACTGCCATCCTCTGAAAGTGAAGTTGCAAGCATTACAGTTGACTGGGTAGAGGTCAGGAATAAGGGAGATGGGGATAAAGTTGACTGATGTGTTAAATCTGTACTGCTAGTGACAGATGCAGCACTCGAGAAACCTGTTTTCTTCTCCATCTCTTCAACTTCTGCCTCATCAGTTCTTACAGGTAGGTCCTCATATGCCTTAGTTGTTGGTGTTTTGTATATCTCAGCAGTAGGATCTCCTGGTGAGGTAAATTCCTTGTCATCCTCTGTGGTTGATAATTCAAACCAATTTAAATCAGTTTCTGGAGTGTTTGGCTGTAAGGTACTCTTTAGAGTTTTAGAACCTGATAAAGCCTCAGATGTGCTTGACAGTATTACAGCAGGTGTTGCAGCTTCAGTTATCTGTGGTTGTGTGATTGTAGTTGAAGTTGTTTTGTCCTCAGAGGGTATATCTTGAGGAGGAATTGACTCAAGAGCTGCTGGGGATATTTCACCACTAGAGTCATCATCTTCATCCACTTCACTTTCAGCTGTTATTTCACTACCTTCAGTAGATAACGATCTCACTGCTGTTTGGACAGAGCTAGACAACAATGTTGATTTAGTTGTGAAGGACGTGGAACGGGAGGAACTTACAAAACTCCCTGGCTCTGATGTGCGGTTAGCCTCACTGATTTCTGTCTCATCAGTATAATTGTCAGACATTTCCTCTGTTGGACTCACACTGTCCTCTTCACCAGAACCTTCTAGTTGAGTAGTTTCTTGGTCATCTTCTACAATACCAGAGCCTTCTCTGTCTACAAAGGCAGATGTGATAGTGCTTGAATTTTGTGTTATGGTGATGTCTTTGTCGAGTTCTGTGAAGCCAGTGCTAGTTATAAGAACTGTAGGAGAACCAGTTTGAGTTTTGATGGCTACTGATGAAACATGCATGACAGGGGACACCCCTGATCCTTCATCATCTGTTGTGTCATCCTCTGCATCAGATGAAATTGTTGTGTGAATGCTATGGCTTTTGCTAGAAGATGTAAACATTGTTTTCGTCCTGAGAAGAGCTGAAGTTGCTTCGTAACTGGCAGTGACTGTTGATGTTTGGATGTGCTTGAAAGGAACAGTCGTTGTTTGGATAGCTGAAGGTGCGGTGTGGTCATCTTCTGTTGCTACTAAAGTGAGACTAGGTTTACCTGAGCCAATTGCAGTATGACTAATAATTGATTCTGCGGTGTGTTTAGTCAACTGTGATTGAGTAATAGTATGAGAAGGTCTAGAAGACACTGAGATCTCTGCGAGTCTTGTACTAACCGGCTCTGTTGTTGTGTAACTTGAGCTAACTACTTCTGTTGTATGGTGGGTGCTAGGTTCTTCTCTAAATT